CTCCTCCTCCTCCTCCTCCTCCTCCTCCTCCTCTTCTTCTTCTTCTTCTTCTTCTTCTTCTTGTTCTTGTTCTTGTTCTTCTTCTTCTTCTTCTTCTTCCTCCTCCTCCTCCTCCTCCTCCTCCTCCTCCTTCTCCTTCTTCTTCCTCTTCTTCCTCCTTTTCCTCCTCCCCACACACCCTCTTCTAGCACTGATGAAGTTACCTAGTTTGGTCATGAAACGCCTGCAAGAAAACCACCCAGCTGAAAGGTGCACCAAGGACTCCACAATCAGGACCACCCTGATCCAGCAGATCCACATGAGATTCCGCTTTCATTTTGTTCCCATCCAGCCAAAGGTCTTATAAGCACCTTCTCTTCCTCGGCTCGCCAGAGGCCTCTTGCCATATTAATTACATTATCAATTTATGCAAATGGCCAAGGGCCCATTCCGCTGCACAGTTCAGAGCGGGGGAAGCCGATAACGCTGCGCAGAGCAGATCCTGGCTCGGCCAGGAAGAAGCCACGCTGGAGGAAGCATCCCTCAAAAGCAGCCGGAGAGGGTGCGGATGCCAGAGACAAGGACGGGGTTTGTGGCACCGCCTCCCATTGGCTAAATCTCAGCTCGGCTCTGCAGCTGTTGCTACCCTACAATTATTAGTAGAAAGCCAGGGGCACAATGGGCCTTCCGAGCCTCTGTGTGGAGGTACCACGGAAGCACCAACCAGGAAAATGTAAATTAGAAATACCTGCAAGCTAGAAAAATGTGGGATAGACAGCATCACCACCGGACGTATTTGCAACTGGCTAACAAATTGTACTCAGCGAGTAGTCTTCAATGGCACTACATCCACATGGAGAGAAGTGAGCAGTGGGGTGCCATAAGGTTCCGTCTTAGGCCCAGTAAACTCTTCAACATCTTCATCAAGGACTTAGAGGAGGGAATTGAAGGGGAACTCATCAAATTTGCAGATGACACCCAACTGGCAGGAGTAGCCAACGCCCCAGAAGACAAACTCAGGATCCAAAAAGATCTTGACCAACTTGAACAATGGGCCCTGTACAACAAAATGAGTTTCAATGTGGAGAAAAGCAAAGTTTTATACCTAGGCAGGAAAAATCAAAGGTACAAGTACAGATTAGGTGAGACCTGGCTCAAAAACAGCAACTGTGAGAGGGACCTTGGAGTCCCAGTGGACGATCGCTTGACCCTGAGCCAGCTGTGTGCAGCAGCAGCAACCAAAAAAGCTAATACAATCCTGGGTTGTATAAACAGAGGCATAGAATCGGGATCATGAGAAGTACAAGTACCGCTTTATAAAGGCTTAGTAAGGCCACACCTGGAATGCAGCATCCAGTTTTGGTCACCACAGTATAAAAGAGATGTTGAGACTTTGGAAAAAGTGCAAAGAAGGGCAATTAAGACGATTAAAGGCCTGGAGACCAAAACATATGAAGAACGGCTGCAGGATTTGGATATGGCCAGTCTAGAGAAAAGAAGGACTACAGGGGAGATGATAGCATCTTCCAGTATCTCAGGGGCTGCCCCAAAGAAGAGGGAGTCAAGCTATTCTCCAAAGCCCCCGAAGGCAGGACGAGAAGCAACGGATGGAAACTAACCAAGGAGAGAAGCAACCCAGAACTAAAAGAGAAATTACTTGACAGTTAGAACAATTAACCAGTGGAACTCCTTGCCTCCAGAAGTTGTGGGAGGGAGGCTTTTAAGAAGAGAGTGGACAGCCATTTGTCCAGAATGTTCTAAGGTCTCCGGCTTGAGCAGGGGGTTGGACTAGAAGACCTCCAAGGTCCCTTCCAGCTCTATTCTGATTGAAAGTGATCATGAAGCCCCTGAAAGGGAGAGCTGTTGGGGCTCTGGCTTGCCTGACCCTCATTTCTGGGGGGGGGGTAAATCTGTCTGGAAGAGCCCGCTCTCGTCCAGAGGAAGATTCCTCTGTCATAAAACCAACACACACACACACACACACCGGTCTTTTATTCCTCCTCTTTGAAGTGCAGATTCACAAAGAGAGGAACAGGAGAGGCCACTGACTCATCGGCCCGCTTCCCAATCCGAAGCTCCAGCCCGGTCAGAAAAAAAGGGGAATTGGGAGGAAGCCGGATGCCAAGCAGGAAACATTGTCGTCGTTTTGGCAAAAAAAGGATGTTTTCTCCCCCATCCCAGCAAAGCAGCAGCTGCCAGAATCTGGGAAGCGCTGCAAGCAACTCCAGAGAGGCCTTTCAAGCAAGGAAGATGCCACGGATGAGCTGGGTGGACGGGCGATGATGAGGTCCCACATATTTGAATGGGAGAGGGAGGGGAGAGTTACTGGGCCAGCCCCTTGCAGACCCTTTTCTTTTCACTCAAAGGGACAGGGAAGAGAAGGGAAGGGAAGAGAAGAGAAAGGAGAGGAGAGGAAGAAGATAAGGGAAGGGAAGGGAAGGGAAGAGAAGAGAAGAGAAGAGAAGAGAAAGGAGAGGAGAAGAAAAGAGAAGAGAAGAGAAGAAAAAGGAGAGGAAGAAGATAAGGGAAGGGAAGGGAAGGGAAGGGAAGAGAAGAGAAGAGAAGAGAAGAGAAGAGAAGAGAAAAGAAGAGAAGAGAAGAGAAAGGAGAGGAGAGGAGAGGAAGAAGGGAAGAGAAGAGAAGAGAAGAGAAGAGAAAGGAGAGGAAGAAGATAAGGGAAGGGAAGGGAAGGGAAGGGAAGGGAAGAGAAGAGAAGAGAAGAGAAGAGAANAAGGACCCCGGAGTCCTTTTCTGCTGCTGCTGCTGCTTCCTCCTCTTCCCTGCAAGCCCCCCTCCCTTCTAGCATTGATGATGTTGCCTAGCTGGGTCATGAAATGTCTTCAAGAAAACAAGCAAGCTGAGAGAGCACCAAGGAATCCATAGTCCTCCTCCTACTGTTGCAAAATCCTTTCCCTTCTAGCACTGATGTTGTTACCTAGTTTGGTCATGAAATGTCTGCACGAAAACAGCCAAGCTCAGAGAGCACCAAGGACCCCACAGTCTTCCTCCTCCTCCTCCTCCTCACACACCCCTCCCTTTCTAGCACTGATGATGTTACCTAGTTGGGTCATGCAACGTCTGCAAGAAAAGCGCCAAGCTCAGAGAGCACCAAGGACCCCACTGTCTCCCCTCTCCTCCTCCTCCTCCTCCTCAACCCTGCTCAGCCATAAGGAGGAAGAGCACATGCCAGTAGTCCTCGGTTTACGACTGTCCATTTAGTGACCGTTCAAAGTTATAACAGCAATGAAAAAAGTGACGTATGACCAGTTTTCACACTTACGACCTTTGCGGCAGCCCCCACCCCATGATCACATGACCAAAAATGGCACAGTTGGCAACCGGTTCCTATTTATGACGGTCGCAGCGTCTCGGGGTCACGAGGGGACGGTCTGTCCTGTTTTGTGCAACAGGAAGAGACACACACCCACACACTCACAGACACACACAAGCGCTGTCCAATGTAGAAACGAACGCTACTGCAAAGTTTGGGTCTGGTTTCAGCAACCGCTGTGAACGGATCCAGCAAGAGCGAATTTTAAGGCTACTTTTTACCAGCCTCCCCCCAAAATTGCAACAAAAAAAAATTATGAAATTAGTAGCAGCATGCAGGGAAATATAATCGTGCCACGGCTGGTGGTGTCAGAGTTTGTTTTCTGGAGGTTTTCACATTCTTTGTGCTTTTATAATAATAATAATAATAATAATAATAATAATAATAATAATAATAATAATAATAACAACAACAACAACAACAACAACAACAACACAAAAATGCCAAATCCAGTCTGAACATCTGGCTGACTGTGCGATGGTCAATAATAATAATGTTGCAAGGGACCTTGGAGGTCATCTAGTCCAACCCCCTGCTCAAGCAGCAGACCCTATATCGATCCAGACAAGTGGCCGTCCCATCTCTTCCTAAAAGCCTCCATTGTTGGAGCACCCACAACTTCTGGTGGCAAGCTGTTCTGCATTTTGTATTTTAATCTTGTTTATAAAATATATATTTAAAAAAAAAAAGAAAAAAAACACGTTTTGTTTCTTATTCAAGAAGCGGAAGAAAAGAAAAAAAAAACCCAGAAAGTCCAGCTGCCTTTTTTTTGGGGGGGGGGGGGGGAAGCTCCTTTGGAACCCAGGGCCAGCTCTGCTCACCGCAGTGCCTCGCTTGCCGGCCGCGCCTGGACGTCTGGAGGCTGCTGCCACTGGGATGGTGGTCCTAGCGGAGACGGCTGACCCGGCCCAGGAGAGGCGGATGGAGACATGGCCACCTGGATGGCTCATGGCTGAGATGCCCAAGGAGCGAACGGGCGCGCTCTGCCTCTGAATGGAGGGCAGCTTCTGCTCCAGAATACAGAACCCAAAGCAACTGGGCAGAAGGAACCTTGAAGGCAGCAATAAAGGAGAATCTCTGTAGCGCAGGGTTGAAATGAGGGGTCCTTGGTGCTCTCCAAGCAAGCTTGGATGTTTCCTTGCAGATGTTTCATGACCCAACTAGGGAACGTCATCAGTGCTGGAAGGGAGGAGGTTTGTGGGGAGGGGGTAAGAGGAGGAAGAGGACGGTGGAGTCCTTGGTGCTCTCTGAGCTTGGATGTTTCCTTGCAGACATTTCATGACCTAACTAAGGAACATTTTTGGCACACTGTAGATTCATGAAACATCTGCAAGAAAACCACCAAGCTCAGAGAGCACCAAGGACCCTACAGTTGTTCTTATCATTATTTTCCTCCTCCTCCTCTTCATCTTCCTCCCTCTTCTTCCTCCTCCTCCTCCTCCCTGCAAATCCCATTCTTTCTAGCACTGATGAAGTTACCTAGTTGGGTGATGAAACATCTGCAAAAAAGCTATCAAGTTCAGCACCAAGGACCACACAGTCATCCTCCTCCTACCCCTTCTTCTTCCTCTTTCTCCTGCCCCTTCCTGCAAATCCCATTCATTTCTAACACTGATGATGTCCCCTAGTTGGGTCATGAAATGTCTGCAAGAAAACCACCAAGCTCAGAGAGCACCAAGGAGCCCACAGTTGTCATCGTCCTCCTCCTCCTCCTCCTCCTCCTCCTCCTCCTCCTCCTCCTCTTCTTCTTCTTCTTCTTCTTCTTCTTCCTCCTCC